AAAATGTTTATCTCCCTGAGCTTGGCCTTCATAATTCCATTCCATCACAGTTACCTAGCTTTTACATGATGGACCTACTTGACAGTCCTCAGAAACTATGGTTAAGCCAGAGGACAACAGGAAGACTGGAAGCTTACTCTCAAGTTACACTAATCCTGCACCATTTTGCTAACTCCCATTCTGCTTCCAGGCTGGACTTAGAATATTTTAGGGGCTGTTCCCTTCCACGTTCTTCTCCCACTCTCTACAATCATCAGCAAAGTTCTTTCTGTCTGTCCTCCCTAGACGAGAAGCCGTACACCTACGTATCACCACTGCTTTGCGAGCTGCACTGACTTCCAGGTGCAATTCAAGGTGCTGCATGTTGTCTATCCAGCCCTGCAAGGCACAGGGCCTGATTACTTGCAGGGCCACCTGTCTCTAATGGTTTCCACCCAACCTACCAGATCCAGCAGGGTGGCCAAGCTCTGGGTCCCCTCTGTTTAACAATGTCATCTAGTTGGACCCAGGAAGTGTGCCTTCTCTGCTGTGGCACCTGGCCAATGAAGCCGCCTCCCTCCTGAGGTATGGACCTATTGGTCTTTTGGAAGGCCTTCAAAACCTGGCTTTTCCTTTGGGGTTCAAAGCCAGGATGCTAGGAGAGATTGGCCTGTGGATCTAATTTTGCATCGTTTGTTGATTATTTTTACCTGGCACTTTCCATTGTTGGTTTTTTACTGCTTTTATATGTATGAATTTGCTTTATGCTCCGTTAACCACCCAGCATGATGGGCGGCTGTATCAATTTGCAAAACAAAAAACAAACATGGATTAAATTTTTAAAAAAACCACCACCTTGGCTGAGAAACAGAACTTTTCCATCATTTCAATGTGAGGGCTCCGCTGTCACGTTTGAGGTCGCTGCTGACCTTAGTGGAGAGCCTTTGGAGAAGAGCAAGGCAGTTTGCTCTGCGGAAGAGATTCTGCAAACTCCATTACTCAGAAGGAATTTGGTAGCACCTTTTCCAATTAACACATTTTATTAAAAGGCATAAGCTTTTGTGGGACAGACCTGAGCCAGCTGAGACATTGTGGGCTCCAGGAAATGACCTGGAGGACCTCAAAGGGCTCCTAGGCTACAAGTTTGAAACTCTGAAGCTAAACCTAGTAAAATCAGGAAATAAAGATGAGTAACTAGAGACTATCCTTCACTATTATTTTCCTACCTGCAAAGCAAAGATGCTGGAATTGGGTGCTTATAATTGTGCATGGAGAAGTTCTGTTTCTCTTCGGTAGTGGAATGCCTACGATAGCTAAGATGGTACTTAAATTCAGAGGATCCTGAATTTAGGACAGTCCTGCCCACCCACCCTGCCCCAAAAGCAAATAGAGAAAAAAATCCATACAGACAAAAGTATTCAGCCTCCCCACCTTCTCAACATTTTTAGCAGCGCTTTTAGACCTGAAAACGGGGAGGCAGATCGTTTTAAAATCCCTTTGAGGATTTTCTGTTTTGTTATTTATATTATGCTATAATTCCTTGCATCACAGAACTGCAGAATTGAAGGGGATCCCAAGGATCCTCTAGAACCCACCATCTCTGTAGGCACTGTTTCCATTCTTGTACAGATCTTCCAATCATGAAGATTTTCCTTCTATTTAAATGAAACCTAGATAACTGCAATCTATTCCCATTATTTCTGCTCACAGTTGCGGCGACCATGGAAAAGAGTTTCCGAACACCTTCCCTGTAGCTTCCCTTTATGGACTTGAAAATTGCTATCATGTCTCCCCTCTGTCTTCTTCTCTTCAGACTGAACTTCCCAGGTCCTTCAGCTCTCCTAGTAAGGCAGGCTCTTGAGACCTTATATTATCTTGGTCACTTCCTCTGAACTCTCTCTAACCTGCCAATAAAATATGAGCTTTGCAAACAGGAGGCTGGCTCCAGAATTTTCTAAGCATGGCGTTGCCGCAAATGCTTCGAAGCATGATTGAAGAGCGAGGTTCTGAGACGAGGATTTTTACAAAACATTTCAGGATTTTTACAAAACAAGGGCAGAAGATGTGGCCACTAAAGGTGGCAGAGCTAAAGAAATAAAGGCAGAAGAATAGAGAGACTAGCAAGCATGTTTCTAGTCCTCAGGGTGGTCCTTGCAGCGACCGAGACCCCTTCGCCTGTTTCCTTCTGACTCACCACCATGCCGTTGATGGAGACCCAGCAATCACTAGGGAAATCCTGCAGCATCGGAACGAGGAACTGAAGGCAGCCGTCCCAGTGACACAGAAGTAGCATCATGCCAATGAGGTTGATGATTCGCATCACTGCACTAGCCAGGTCGTATGTCATGTGGAAAATCTGCCGGGGGAAAAGGTGGAGAAACAGGTTAAGTTGCAAAGAGTTCCCATTCTCGGGAATGTGAGACACTGCCAGGCAGTCTGGTAGCTGAATGCTATTCAAGGGGTTGCTATTCGGAGTCAGGAAAACAAGGATGGAGTCAGTATTGATCTATTAGTTTAGGTGGGACTATTAACTGGAACAAGAGAAGCCCAGGGACTCTTCAGAGAAGCAGCCTTGTGAGTGGTGGGTCACCTAAAGATGATGGAAGGATTCCAACATCTGTTCTGAGGACATCTGATTGGAGAAGACTGCAATGACTCATTCAGAGAAGCAACCAACAGCTTTTCCTAGCACTGGGTCGATCATTCTCCTGTGCATCTCCCTAAGAGAGACCGACTGATCCAATCACAGAAAACCAGTAGGCCAAATGGAAAATAGCGAGTCAGAACACTACATCATACAGAGTCACAGCAGACAACCTCTTCTGCAAGGAGCTGAGCTGAGGTTCAGCCTTCCCCCACCTGGCAAAATCCACAAGTTTTGGACTGTGATTTCTTTACCCATTTGTTAAATGTCTACCCTTTTTTCTAAGAGCATAAGGCAGGGTATATAGCAGTTTTCCTGGAACAACGGTCTTGTGGGGTAGGTTGGGTTGGGAGGGAGGGAGGGAGGGACACTGTCCTCAAGTCGCCCCACGAGCATCCACGATGGTAGATGAGTGTGAGTCTGTGCCATAAATTGGACAGTGCCAGGCTGGGGGACTTGAATCAACTGGGCAGTTCGTCTTGATTAATGGAGCTCCTATTTGATCCCACTAAATTACAGTCAATAGAGTTTGAGATCCAAGCCACAATATTCAGCTCACCCCAGTTTACAAAAGCAGGTAAAGTAAACAGGAAAGCAATTCATCATGGTAAATGAACCCAGGGCGCTCACTCAGTTAAAACAGCAATTAAAACAAAGGGAGGGTTTAATGCATCCACCGCCTGAGGCTGGGTCAAACCGCAGACCTCGTCTTTCAGAGAGATCACAACCAGCCCCAGGTATGTGGACTCCCATCTTCCTGGGCTTGGAAACGATTCACGTGGCTTTGATTTCCTCTTATGCTTTGATGTCCTACGGCAAAACGGGAATAGATACAAACCTGTCAACACCATGCAGTCAGCTTGCTGAAGAAATCCGTCATCAGGGTTTGCAAAATGTATTTATTTCATCTATTTATTTATCGTACTTATATAGCTGCCCGTCTCACACAAAGCGACTCTGGGCAGCGTACAGCAATTCAGAAGAATAAATACATAAAAAGAATTACAAATGAAAACTATAAAAACACACCACACAGGAGGGGATAAAATTAATAAGGGAGCCGTTGCAAAATCTCCCCGGTCCCCCTGGTTTACGAGTCCCCAAAATGCCTGGCTCGTCAACCAAGCAAACAGATTCAGTTTGCATGACATGCTCAGTCATTAAAAAAACAAGCCAAGCTGACACCAAGATCTGCCCGCGTGCGTAGGCAACTGCTTCTTTAACTAAGATGTATTGAGGGAACAAAACTTCTTCATGTATGTATTTTTTAAAGGAACTCCCAGCTTTCCTCCAGGACCTCAAGGCACCATAAATAGCTTTCTCGCCTCCAATTCCCCCCCACAACAACTCTGAGAGATAGGTCGGCCTGAGGGAAAGGTATTGCACCAAAGACCCTTAAGGAGCTTCTGGGTTCTCCCCACTCCTAGTCCAGTCCCTTCCCCACTGCATCTGATTGGCTCTTGGGCTGAGAGGGAGGGATTGGCCCAAAGTTAGCCAATGAGCTTCTGTGGCTCCAGGGGTGGGGACTAGAACCTGGGTCTCCCCACTTCTGGTCCAGCACCTTCCCCACTGAACCCCACTGGAGCAGTCCTGTCACATCCCCATCCCCAATCCTTGTAAGGAGATGGGGAAGGAATATCAAGAAGATCCAATAATATTGGCCAACCTTCTGTCCCTCAAAATATCTGGTTGCCACAACAAGCATTATGGACTTATCAATGGGTTGTCTTTAGGCAGAATTCCACCAGGAGTGATGGAACCACAAGGCAGGACTTAGATCATTACTTCAGTCTTAACTTTCTTTAATCCAACTCCCTTGGTTGCCCATGATCCTGGGGGCAATTCCAAAACATCTTACATTCAGGCCTCTCAACTGCATCCTTCCACAGCGGACTCTCCACCGATCCTGTTAAATAAGAACACCAAGGACGGAATCTGGGATTTTGCCCACACGAGAATGGTGGCATTCTGGTCATTATTCCCCCGTCTTTGGCCGGGGAGAGAGAGACCCCTCCCTTCATTGTGCTTTCCATCTTTTGTCTGTATTTTTTATTGATTTTATTGTAATTCCTTTGATTGATTGTCGCGAGCCAGCCAGATTTGCTGAGAGGTGGATGGCATACAAGTTTAATAAATTATTATTATAATTTCTGTGCACACTCACTAGCACTGATGATGTTACCTAGTTGGGTAATGAAACGTCTGCAAGCAAACCACCAAGCTCAGAGAGTACCAAGGACTCCACATGATTATTATAAATTATTATTATGGCCCAAGAATGGGATGGAGAAAAACTTCTAGGATGCTAGGAAGCCTCCTTATTTCTCTATTTAAATTGCAAGGGCCGCAGCATGGAAGGCAGGAATGAGGCGGTATTAACAGAAAGGAGAGGGTGGGATTTTCAAACACTTCTTCCTTTGTGTTGTTGTTAACCCCAAACTCGGGTTAAAGAAAAGCCAATTCTCCTCTGAGCCAAGCCTCGCTCTTGGTGACTTCATGAAGTTTCTTGGGCACCAGCAGTCTAGATGAGACCACTGACATTTCCTGGGGGTTTCTTTTTTTATTATTATTAATGTTTATTAAATAAGCTTTTTTACCGAATAAAAACAATACAAATTTAAAGAAAAAGTAAAAGTAAAGACAAGTAAAAGAAACTGATAAGTAAATAAGAAAAGGAAGGAAGGAAGGAAGGAAGGAAGGAAGGAAGGAAGGAAGGAAGGAAGGAAGGAAGGAAGGAAG